CAACAGGACCACGTGTGCACGGCCCGGGGCTCAATCGCAATCATTTCAAACATTTTATACTGAAGACATACTAGAGCTGAAGTATGAAGTAAGAGCATGAACTCAGATGAAGGCAAAATAAATATTTCAAAAACTGTTTTGTTTTTTGGTGGGGAAAAAAATGAAGAGGAGATAATGAGGGAGAAGCAATACATGACATCTGTGTTCCATCCAAGACCCCGGTGCCACTGAATACCAAATCAGCCAAACATCATGAGACTTAATAAAATATGAGGAAATCATTATTTAGATTTTACCCTGCGATGACATTTTTAGAAGGAAACCTTCTTTAAATCGGAGTCAAATGACTAGTTTTGGTTTATTTATTCCACGGTGCGTGAGAAATGGGCCTAAAAACCACCGGTATAAAACGCTGGTACATAATACTGTGTTTTAAGTAGGCACAGGGGTTTTCAGGAAGTATCACACTGCAGAAATATTATCTGCTTTTCACACTCCACCAGGAGATGTATCGTGTTTTTAAAGTCATTTAAAGTTTTTGCCAAGTTATTGTTGCTCCCTTCATATCACGTCAAGGTTCCAAATGTGTGTTTAACAGTAATAAGACATTTGATGATGTCAAGAAGAAACTTCCTCTTCAGTTCAAGGCTGTTTGGATGTGATAAAGCATTAAAGAAGGTCTTAAAGGCACAGGGTTGAGGTGGAAAACGTCAGTTTTTACCCCTGTCAAACTGGACGACTCTTCAGGAACCTGATCAGTCATCAGCTGTAGGAACGCCATATAAAATAAAAATGTATTCCGTGATGGTACTGCTGAATACCAAATTCCATCTGTGCCATATTTTGGCAAGTGTGTGTGTATGTATGTGTGTGAGAGAGAGGTGCTGCTGCTGCAGCCTGGTGCTTCAAAGAGAATCACGAACTGCTGTGCCTCTAAACTGACAGCACCAGGGCGGCTCAGGTCACGGAGAACATCGCAGACCCAGGAGAGAGTTTTGAGTTCAACACCTGACCTGAAACCCGTGTCTGTTAATGTGACCTCTGTCACTGTGTACAATCTACGAGATGATGGAAACAAAACAAACAAACTTGAATTCCTATAGACTTCAATGACAAAAGACCAGTTAATGTAAAGGGATGGACGGGGGGGGGGGGGGGGGGTTAGAATATAAAATAATGTTTGGAGGCGAAACATCATTATGTTTTGCTTTGCAGGTGTGACTAAAAAAATAATGTTGCTCCTAGTGTGGTACAGTGGATTAAACAGAAGGTTCCTGGTTCAATTCTGTCTTAATTCTTAATCCTAGTTTGGGTGGTGTTGTGAGATGCATCATTAACCAGTGGTGCTGTCAGGAATCCTGGGTCCCACGAAATGATACGGGCCCATAAATGTATGTAACATTTAAGAATATAAATATATTTGTACATACTCTGCAGAATTCACTATCAACTATTCAAGACTGATATTCACTACAAGAAATTTCTCAATGCAATATTTTACTGTAAAATTATAATAAATTCATATTATTTTTTAGGTCCCTATCAGTCAGTGGACTTTGGAATTTCCTTAACTTCCCCCAGCCCCAAAAATGTCAATGTTTTCCACTCAAAAACATTTCACGTTGACCAATCACGTGCTTCTTGAACAAAAAAAGTAAAACAAAACCCCAGCTTTTTTTTATACCTAAAACTAAGCCAAGAAGTCAAAAGTTCCATCTGGGCCCTCACCCATCTGTGAGTCTGGTGTGAAGATTTAGGTCACCTTCCTGGAGGGTAGCCACATTATTTTTGACTGATCTTTCACTGGCTGTCATGGCAGTCAGTCTCCCTCACAGTGTTTGACCACTTTGGCTTCTTGAATAATATTCTCTCCAAGTTTAGTGTGGTAACTGCCAGGCACAAGGAGCCCCAGGCCTTGAATCTCAGTCCAGGACATATCCCTCACTCTCTCCTTCTCTGCCTCCTTTGTTGACTTTTCTATCTACACCTCACCTGATTGGTCGTCTGACTCCTCATCTCAGACCATCCCCTCAGTCTTATGATTTACTAGAGATGGAGTATTGCTAGATTAGGAGATTCAATTTGGAAATATGTCATTTTGTTATCTTTTCCACAAATCATAAATGTCTTTCATCAGCAGTGGTCGCCGCTCTGTGAAACAGGTGAAGCTCATTTGAGGCCGAGTTATTTATATGTGAGGTTCATTCTCTGGAGCAAACACCACACCACAGGCTGTGGTTTGTCCCTGGGACCACACTCTAAACACTCCACTTAGGACAGACACAGAATATGTTCTGGTGGTTTTTGAACAGATTGTCCAATCACAATTAAGAAGCCCAGCTTTTAATAATTTCACACATTAAGCGCAGAATTAAGCATAGAGTGGAATAAAATATAATAGTATGGCATTGCATGGTATGGTATGACATGGTATGGTTTGGTTTGGTCTGGTATGGCCAGTTTTAAGGGTATGGTTTGGTCTGGTATGGCCAGTTTTAACTTCAGTACTTTTAAAAATATTTTCCGAAATCATGTCGACTTCAGTTTTTTTTATCTTGTTAAACTGGACTAAAAATATACGTATACAGCGAGAAAATCCAGCAGCGCTGTCAGTTTACGTCGGCCTTATCTTCCCACCTATCATCGTTTCTGTCTTCAACTTTATCTCTTCTCCCGTCTCGCTCTCCATTTGCTCCAGGGAATATTAATTGATGATTATCTTGTTCAACAAAGCCCGTCTGCAAATGTGCCTTCTTTTAAATGAGCAAAGTCTACGTGCTAACCACTACGTACAGCTATATTTGACAGAACTTCCTGTTCTGGTTTTTGTTTTTCCCTAGCCTTCTTTTCCTCTGCCTTCGATTTTAGTTTCTTTGGTTGCAAAAGACACACAAGTTTCCTGGGTTGCTAAGGAAAGCAATAAGACATGGATGAACAGATCCCCTGCTAGGGTGAATAAAATTGACTGAAGGGGAAGAGAGCTGCAGAGGAAGAGGAACAAACAGTGTCACTCCAGCTGCTGGAAGAACAGTCTGAAGAACAAGAGACGTGCACTGTCTAACTTTTGTTTATCCGAGCACAAACTCTGCAGCTTCCCATCAATATTCAGCCCATAATTCTCACCCTGGGTGGTCTCACTTTGTTCTTCATCTCCAGATGAAAACAAACTTCTGCTTGTTTGACTTTGCTAAATTCTAAACAGGAATTCATATTAGAGATGAAAGGTAGCACTTCTCAGGATTCACGTCACCTGACGACTGAGGAGAGTCAGAGAACCGTGGGCTCGACTCCACAGGATGTTGGCAGAATGCAGCCCAGAGAGTCTCTTTCAATTAGGAAAAATATTGGTGACTGGAATAAAAAAGAACAAGCTTCCTGTTTGCCAAGTGAAGTGAAGTCCTTTTTTCACCGAGTCAGGAAAACAAATAAGGAAGTCAATCGGATTCTGATTAGAAATTTGACTCCAAACGTCACAAAAACGATGCAATTGAAGAAGAGGAGAAGGAGCAGAAACAGGAAGAGGTAGAAGACAGAGGGGAGACAGCACCGTGGTGGCAGCACCGCGGAGGCAGCGGAAAAAGGTCAGGTTCAGTCATGGCAGCACCGCGGAGTCAGCGGAAAAAGGTCAGGTTCAGTCATGTGGGGTCGGTACCAGTTAGCAACAGGAAGATTCTGACAACATCTCACTATACATATGGTGTAGTAAGATACTATATAAAGTTAAATTCTGCAGCACTTTTTTTAATGTTTTTACTTTAACCTTTTCTTTACCCTATATTTGGCTGTAACGTTACTAAGAACTCAGTTCCACGCACTAATCAATTAAACCCTAAGAAGTTCTCCTGCCTCTGGACGGAACTTTGCTTTTACACAGATCGATGCCACAGGAACTCTCCAGGTGTTTCAGGGCACACAGCTGCTGCCTTGCTCTGTGCTATATTTAAGCATTCAGTGTGTGTAGTTGCTGCACATCAGGTTAAAAACCCTGCCTTATTATCACCAACTTCTGGTTGAAAACCATAGTCTTATACAGTATGACACAGTATCATATGTCTGGTACGGAGTATAACTAGAAGAAAGTAATTAATGACGCACACATTAAGGTCTGCACTTCGAGTCTCCTGAGCCTGCACTTTAGTTAAACTGTGAAACAGGATTAATAGAGAACCTACAGTGTGTGTGTGAGTGTGTGTGGATGAGCATGTGTGTTTGTGTGTGTTCGAAAAGGGCTTCCAAAAGGTCACTGCAAGCAATTGTGCTCGATCCCAACAGACACGTAAGAGTCGTGCTCTACGTCGTTCATAATACATATCACTAAAATCTGCACAATGAGCCGCGGAACGAACTTTCACCTCTGTGTGTGGAGATATCACAGACAACAGGAGATGAGATATAAAGGTTATGAATGCATCTATTATGTACGGTATCATCTAGAGGACGGTTAGCAGCTCAAAGCTTCACGACGGCACATTCAAAAATGAAGTCATGAATATATTTATAAATATAGACACAAATATATGTATGTTTATATAAATACACAAATATACAGTTTATGTATATATGCATACACACACATATACACACATTTATATAGATAGATATACATATACATATGTGTATATAAGTATATATATACACATGTATGTGTGCGTTTTCAAATATGTTTGATTTGTGAAGTAGGACAACTTTGTTACTTAATATACATATATGTAGATATATGTGACAGGGACTGACTGGAACTGATTCTGATTGTGAGCCTGATGACAGACCAGCAGAAAAGGAGATGTTATTCTTCAATTATTTGGGGAAACATACTGTATAAACTGGAGAAAAAAACCTTTAACACCTGATCTTTTTTTTTTCCTGTTTGGTGCCAGACAACACACCCACCAACATTAGCACCTGAATCCCATAAGTGGAACCCAATATGGTCAATAACTAGTTACTATTAGACAACAGATTGTCCAAAGTCCAAATACTAACACCACCTTCATCTTGTCTGCAGAGACAGCAGTTAATGTCAAAGGGTCACCAGAGTAGAGTGAAGCAATAAGTAGACACTGTACTGTACGGAGCATTAAATGTCACCGTCGTGTGGAACAGTGCTGCTGCCTACTTTACCAGAGTCATTGAAGTCACTCCTCTCTGAAGCACAACATCCTGTCATTTGGACGCTTTGTGCTGAAGAGAATCTGATTTGTAAACACAGCACTTGTGGTGAATATGATGAATGCGAATTAAGACCTACTCCATGTCCACTTTTAATGCTGGCATTAATCCAAATGCCTTTGTACACCACCGACTGAGTGTTGTAGGAGGAAATACTGTTAGACCAAAGTAAGTGGCCTGCAGGTCAGTATGAATACCAAGCAATTTTCTAAAAGGCCAGACACTTCCGTCGGTTTCTTATGTGATATTCTTCCCTTCCCTGCCAGAATAGCAACGCTCACATTTCTCAGAGGCATTAATAAACTCACATCTCATTCAGGAGGCACTTAACCCAAGAAGTTAGCCGCAACAAGAAGAGAGCATTACAGCTGAAGGAATCCAGTTCGGCGTACCTTTTCACCACCCGCAAGCTCGGCATAACATTTGGTCAAATAAAAAGTATCCTCATAAATGTTTTCATCTCTTAGGCTAACGTAAGGATATTTCTTGATCAATTCTCCATTATTGATAGTTTTTTTTTATTTTTGGTTTAGTTTTAATTATCACTGGCAAAATCTTAGGTTCTGTTGCTATATTTCGGTTTTAGCATTAGCTGTTTTGGGCTAACATTACAGCTAACAATTTAGCGATTGTGTTTTTGTTCCATCTTGCATCTAATAAAGAGCACCTTCTTCAGCCTCAAGTCATTGGGCTAGTCAGTCACTGTTCAATTGTTCAATTATTTTCTCTCTACACACTGTTAGACCAACTGTTTATATCAACAACAGTTGCAGCAAAAAAAACAGTTGCTATCCATTGGGACATAATCTACCCAACATGCATTTCACACTGGACACACATGACACAAGACTTCACAACTCTCATTTGCCGTCACTCCTCCTTCAGTCGTCCAACCAAACATCATCATCGAGCCATCGCTGTACAAACACCAACACGTGGTCTTACCTTCGTACACTGCTTTGAAGCCCTGGGCACTAACAGCAAAGTCTGTGGTGAACCACAAGGCCAATATAGATCCACTGCTGACTATAGGGGAGGGCAGCATGAATCCCGACAACCTGAAAAACACAGAGAAAAAGCTTCAAACATACATCTGTGAAAATCCAGTGTGTGAGCGGACTGTTGATTTCTGAGAGAAAACAAGGCGCAACATCAAATCTGAACGCCTGCTCCAGGGCTCGGGTTAAGGCTTATGGGACAGTAGAATGTGTTGCTAAGGAAGACCCTCGGCCCCCGCTGGTCTGAGGACGCATCCCCCATATATGTTTTGTTTCTTCTGTTTGATCCCAAGTGCATCACTCCATCTCTTTTGCTGGGGGAAATGATGAGTGAAAGCAGTCGTTTTCACACTCTGAAAATAAAACTTTAATACTGTAGGCGCATCACGAAGCAACCAGGATCGCAGCCTCGGCACACTCTGTAATTCACACCACAACCGTCAGGCTAACGTGTGAGTGAGTTGACTGTCGTGTGTGTGTGTGTGGGGGGGGTCTTTAATATCCTGGGGCCGGTACAAGACCACCTTCATAAGTGTGTGTGTGACAATGTAACTCTGTCAGTGAGGCAGAAAAACCTCAAACACACGTCATTCAACCAAACAAGAGAATGCTCTTATGGTTCAAGTATACTGATATTTTCGCAGGAATTTCTTTAGTGCAAAAATTGAATTTCAAGAAAATAAAAAAGATAATTTTTATTTTGTAAAGCAAATAATATATTGGACAAATGATCACATTTTCCAAAAACAATATTATTTTATAATATATTTTATTTGGGATAAAACCAAGCAGACATTTTCAACAAATTGTTCTCTATTAATTCAGCAAATTTAGAATTTTCAGTTCTTTGTCTGTTTCTGTATATTTCAAATGGTAAGTGAAGGGGACTTATATACTGCATTTTAAGTCCTGGTGACAACTCAAAAGACAGTACCAAATATTTTGACCAGCCATGTATTATTCTAATGATAAAGACGTGTTTTGTTCTAGTATCTTCTGCTGTCCTGTTTGTACCTCATGGATCACATGTAGCATCTGTAGAAGGAGAGAACTGCAGTACTGGACTGAAGAAGACGCCCAGTGTGTCCTACATGGTGTAGAGCTGGAGTCACCGTCCATGAGGACGGACAGACCAGTCATCACTCTGTTGTCTCTAAATCTACCAAGGACATATCCAGAGATAGGAATGGTTTTTTTGTTATCTTTCACTTTTGTCTTGTCCTTTGTAAATGATGAGAGATCATGTTGGTCGTTTTTGGGCTTCACTACAAAAAACAGAAGAACAATAACAAACTGTTATGTCCTTTTTTTTTTACCATGTTCCAAAACACTTGTTCATTTATTGGTTTATATATATTGACATTGCATTTTTTTCTTCTCCAGAGTCTCTTACTGTCTAATATCTTATTGTCTACTGACACTTCTGCTCCATTGGACCTCACCCTCCTGTGTGTAAAGTAACTAGTGACTTTTTTTTCTTCTTTTTTTCAGTTCTTCATCTGAGCCGTTGGCATCAGAGAATAAAAACTTGCATCATTAGTAAAACTGAAAAAAGCAACATTAGCACCTGAATCCCATAAGTGGAAGCCAACATGGTCAATAACTAGTTACTTTTAGACAACAGATTGTCCAAAGTCCAAAGACTAACACCTTCATCTTGTCTGCAGAGACAGCAGTTAATGCCAAAGGGTCACCAGAGAATAAAAACTTGTATCGTTAGTAAAACTGGAAAAGCAACCGACACCGAAAACAGTGTTAGACGCAGAGGGAAGATGTGAAGGACTCGTACCTTCACTGAAGAAAAAATAAATAATTTTGATGTTCTGACCTCAAAGGAAAGGACACAAAAGACGGACAAGAATGGATGAAAGAAGCATATAAAAAGACACAAAGTGGAAGACAGAAGAAGGAGCCTGAAGACATCGGAGAAGAAAGGAGGCTAAGACTGTGAGAAAGGACGGGACAAAGATGGTCGGGTGAAACGGAGCAAAGAGAAGAATCTTCTTTGTTCACCGTGTTTAGGATCTTTTGTGGCTTTGCAAATTCCATTTCCAAAAAGTCAGTAAACTTTTTTTTTTAATTAAATACAAAATGAAATGTACTTCAAATACTCCAAAACTTCAGTGAAGAATTCCGCAACATCACCAGAGCACCACCAGCACCACCACATCAAATTCAGCGACATGATTTTTCTCCAGTCCTCCTCTAAGACGGAGTAAAAGCTGCTGCCGTCGCCACATGATAATAAATATGCAGTGTTTTCCGTACAGTTGTCAGAAAAGCTTGTGAAACTTTATTTGTTTCGGCAAACGCTAAAACTGGTTGTAACCTTCTTCCTTTCCAGGAGCAGTACTGTTCACAGCGAGGTGTTTCCTCTGCCTGACATAAACAACTCACTTCTACCATATGACTCAGGGACGTCAACACAACGTTTCAGACGGAAAAAAAAAATACAGACAGTCGCAGTGGGATCACATTGTGAATCAGCATTCGGTGAATTTATTCATCAGTGGATTTAATGGGATTCAAACCAACGAAAATGTGACATTGAGCAATGTAACCTTCATAAGACAAACTTTGTGTTTTGGTTTTTGGTGGTTAAGGTTTACATTCACATCCATACAGTATGTAGCCTAGATATAATTCTAACAGAAAATTAAAAAGCCGGACTAGCCAAAGTTTAACCGTAACTTTACTGTGAGTTTGAATTAGTCTGTCTGACAAGACTCATGTACTGATGAATAAGGAACAGTCATTTATGTTGTTTGAATTCATGTCTTTACGTAGATACTTAAAATTACTTAACCTCTAATTATATACATTGTTTTAATCACATTTCTGCTCTAGGAAGAAAAAAAATCTGAGGCTTTGAAAACCACCTGAAAAACTAGGTTAGTAATCAGGTCATAATGAATGAGGCTTAATTCTTATAAAAGACGTTCTGTACAATGAAACTTTTTTTTGCTGAATAAAGGAAGAAAGACCAATATCCATTCAAAGACTGAGCTTATAGTCCTTCTGGGGGGGGGGGGGGGGGGGGAGGTGTACAGTACTGCTGTTGTTTGAGTCTTGAATGTAACTTGGACCTCACACACCTCCACATGGTTTCATTGAGCAGTAATCATCTGGCTGTCATTGTTTTGATGGACGGACACAGTTCTACACCCTTCCCTGTCTGGATGCTCTCCTCTTCCTCACCGACTCTTCCCAGTCTGGTTTCTCCTGCGCTCTCCTCTTCCTCGCCGACTCTTCCCAGTCTGGTTTCTCCTGATTCACACGGCACCTACGTCTGACAGCTGTTTGACATTTATGCCAAAATAAGTCGGCCAGCTTTCAAATATTCGACAGCATCCTTTGGGTCCGCCGTCCCAGCAGTCAGCCTGGTCACGTAATCACACATGGTGTCGGTGATATCTGTCCTGCTTTACTGTCAAACCAGCCAACCTGCCTGTGCAGGTCCCAGTGGCCGAGTCCATGTGTCTGTCCACCCATCTGTACCAGTCTGTTTCACAGGACTTTATAAGTGTTGCCTGCCACACAGGTCGGTCCATGTGGACAAACCCTCAGCCTATCAGGAACATGGTTTAGATTGTATTGTAGTGCATACAGTAATGAACAGATATCACTACACACCCCCAACCCTTCAAACGTTTTGGTACCAAAGCCTGGTTGGTCGGTACCGGCCAATACCGTGGGCTAGCAATGGAAGTATGGATTCTGTGGTACTGGCAACAACCATGGGATGAGAAACTGAAGTCGGTGCCCTGACCTTTCTCATATTATCTCCTTAAATGCACAAACACAAGGTCAAAGCCCAGAGACTGGAAAACTAACAAGTGGTCCACCAAGCATGACAGAAGTCCTGTGTGTATTGACGCTGTGAGGACTTTCCCTGAAGGTCAGTCGACCAAATTGTACGGAAAGGATTTACTGTATTGATATTTAACATCCAAGCTTTCCCCATTCCC